CCTGCCGCTTGAGAACAGCTGTAAGCTGGCCCTTCCCGGCGAGAGAGGACTTCGAGGATTACTACGTTAATTAACAACAATTAATTATAAAATAGCTAACTTACTGAAAGATGAATGTATGTGCATTTAGTAAGAGACGCTGCCTGAACAGGACTCGCTTTAAAGCCGCAGCAAGCCCCTGCCCTTGCACAGCACGCAGGTAAGCCCAGTGTAACCAGAGGACGAGTCGGGTATCACACTGCATGAAAGGCTCTGTGCCAATTTTTATAGTTTGTATTTTTTTCAAAAAGCAGGAGAAATAGCAATACCTTTTTTTCTGGTTCCACTCAATCTGAAACAAAGTCAAACATGGGGACACTTTCTTTTTTTAAACCAGCTTCAAGCATAGCAATGCATTTTTTTTTCCTCACAGCTGATTCCTATGTGCAAAAGGGTGACTAAGATCAGCATTTATGCATTACAGCTTAAGAATCTAAAAACTCTCTTAAAAATTAGTAAGTTGGAAAGCTGGGAAATGAACTGCTATCAGTAAATTGCTATTCTCCACTCGAATGCACAGCAATCTTGTAACACAAATCCACAGAAACAGACAAAGGCAGTTCTAGATAAAACTGCAACTGGTGTAAAAGCCTGAAGAGAATAAAACCTAAGTTGCACATTGACTATTGTATTCTCGTACTTTGCAGATATCTGAACCAAATGAGTTTGACATCATGCTCGTAATGCCTGTTACAAGACTTCAGCTGGATGAATGTGATGACACTGGAGCCTATTATTATCTATCATTCAAAAGAAATCCAAAAGAAAAGCATTTGTCTAAGTTTTTAGATGAAGATGGAAAATTATCAGCCTTTAAAATGCTTCAAGCACTAAGAGAAATTATTAAACAAGAAGTAAAAAACATTAAAAGTAAGTACTGAGAGAACAAGCTTCACCTAGGAGTGCTAAAAATCCAATTAAATTGCGCATGTGCATTGCCCTGTTGTTAATAAAATGTGATTTCCCCCCCCCAGGCAACTGTCTCTTCGTGGCTATAACTGTTTGCTCTTGTGCTAAGAATCACCACAAATACATCGGAGCTAATCATACTATGCGATTAACCCATTGCTCCACTATGCAATCCTCTTTCCATATGAAAATAATGAGTATTAGGGTTCTGTCGCATGCTTGGTATTTCCTACATGGCCTATGTATTTTGAATCTATCTGCCATATACAAAAAGCCATTTGCTGAACTGGTAGCAGTAGAAGGAAGAGCTTTCTTTTATACATTACCTGGTATTTTATATCGATCTATATAGAAAACATATCCCCTTTTAGGGTGCTCTTTTTCCTCTAAAGCCTTCAGAAACGTTGTGGCCAAATCTCTTCAGTCTCGGTGTTTTCAACAGTGAAGCAGTTCATTGGAAAACATTACTGTATTTCTGATCCTGTAGACATGGTAAATCAAGCAAACACAGCAGTTCAAGATGTTCCTTATTTCATAGAACTCCTCTTAATGTGTTATTTAAAATCCATGTTCTGTAGGATAAAGAGCCAGTGACTGAACCCAGGTATTTCTTCTGATTGATTATAAATTTCTCTTAAGTAAAACCCTTAACATTCTTCAAAAAAAGCTTCTAATGTATAAAATATATATAAAAAAATCAATTTCTTCTTCGTTACTAGATGTGGAAGTAACTGTGAAAAGGAAAAAGGCTGGAAGCCCTGCAATAACTCTTCAGATCAAAAATCCTCCAGCAGAAATAACAGTGGACATCATCTTGACTTTGGAAGTTCAGCAGAGCTGGCCGCCCAGCACACAGGATGGCCTCAAAATTGAACAGTGGCTGGGAAGAAAAGTCAGGGGAGAGTTCAGAAATAAACCGCTTTATTTAGTAGCCAAACAAAACACAAGAGAAAAGGTTCTAAGAGGTACCTCAAATACAGACAATAGGTCTAAGTTATGAAATATCTTCTCTACAACTTGATCACTTGCAAGTGCTATAAAAAGGCTATCCAGATTCTGTTCAGTATTCTGCCTTCGAGGTACATCTTCATTTTATCCTGGATATATCCAGATCAAAGACAATTGAAATTCCTCTTTAAAACATCAGATTTTTGACACTGCTTGTGCTGTACTGAAATCTAAAGAAAAAACTGCTCTGCCAGGCTGTATACTAACCATTCCTAAGAGCATTAAATCTACTAAGTCAGACACATGAATACAGACCTTTCCTGTGCTAGTGCCATACTGAACAGCAACATCCACTCCTTTGCTTTGTAAGAAAAAAAAAAAGTAAATTAAAAGATTTCTAAAAAGGCAGGGAACATCCCTGTAAGTGGGACTGTATACACAGGTTATATACTTCTGCAGGAAGTAAACTGTGTACTTTTCTAGCAAGATACATTATTTGTCATTGAACTCTGGTAAAGCTACAACATTTATTATTTTTTTTCTTCAGACCGCTGTCACACCAAGCCTACTTTAGTTTGCAGAAACATCCCAACTTGTCATTGCGTTATGAGAACTGATGATTTCAGCAAAAAGGGTTCAGGCAATCTGGTATTTTTTTTAATTAACCTGCCCATCTTAACAATGCCAAATAAATCATTGCTGCTCTACTGAGCTATCTCTTCCCATGAAAATTAAGCGCAACGAGTAACTGAACCATACAGGCAAGGGAAACAGTCTAACTTATGTAAGGAAGACAAAAATGATTGCCAGTGTTCTAAAAACAGGGGGTTGAGCTATGTTAATCATTGCTTTCAGAAACATTACCAGAAGAACAAAAATAAATGCTTTAGAACAGTCACCTTACCCGAGGCAAACTCACAAGCACATTACTTGCACAAATAAATTGAAACCAACAGAGATTTTTTTATTCAGAACCAGAATCGTTACACAGTAAGGCTAATAATACAGAACAGAAATTCAAAGGTAGTGGATTTCTATGAGTAGTGTAATCCCCCAATGCAGGAAAGTTCAGAATTAATTTTAAAGTAAATCCAAACATCCTTAAGAATATAGTTAAAGCATTCAAACAATTAACTGTCCTGTATTAATAACATTCTAATTGTCTTTGTGTGGAGCAGCTGGGGAATTAAGGAGGAATTAACTAATTGTAGTCACTGAATTATGGTGTTTTTTTTTTTTTTTCTTAAAAGTGCAGAGGAATTGCTGATATTTAAAATTAAGTCAGTTATAAAGTGTCTTTTTTTTCCTAGTTACAGACACCGGTATGTACTGCTATGTAACAATTTAACAATCTTGTACTCAACTTTAGGAAACACCTGGCGACTCTCTTTCTCGCACATTGAGAAGGCCATGATGAACAACCACGGCAGCTCCAAGACGTGTTGTGAATCTGATGGACCGAAGTGCTGTAGGTTGGTATTTCATATGAATATTTTACTTTAAGCCTGTGTGAGCCATGCTAGCACTGTCTAGCACTGTTTCAATTTAATATTTAAGAATTTGATCTAAGACTAATTACTCATAATAGCGGGAAAGAATAAGGCTTTTAGGCATCATTGTTCTATAGCAGTACAACATTGCACATACTCACTGAACATCTGACTTGCATTTACCCAACAAGAGGTGGAAACAAATCAGTGCAGGTTTACACTCCAGACTTGCCTTGGAAAGCAAAAAGATGCAACTTTTTAAATAATCTCCCAAATCCAGTCCTGTTTAGAAGAACCAGCTTAAAAGTCTGATGATTCAGCTTTCTGAGCTCTGGGAACAAAGTTACACTTCATACCAAAGGCAATTTCTAAAACGATGGTGAGAAAAGAACTGCTGAATGGGATCAGGATGAATAAATGTGATTTTTCACTCAGATAAAAAATGGTTTCCACATTTCTTTGAAGAGAAAGAACAAAACCCACATGAGGTATAAAACCTCCTTAATGGCAAACCAACTTCTTACTTAATTGCATCTTATACTGAATCAAGGAAGCCACAAGAGAACTATGCATAATTCTTTGTCTTTGCTTTATGATTACCAGACATGCTATGCACCTACCTAGCAGTGTATTAAACTATATATACCTCTTCCCCTTGTGGTGTGTCACAGGAAGGTAGTGGCATTTCCCTCCATGTAAATCCAAGCCAAAAGGGCAGCTTTGATCTTAAGCAGTGCTCCAAGTTCATGTTATACTGGTAGCATCTGCAGCTGGGAAACTGTACTGTGTAATCACGCTCCTGACCAACACTTTGTATTTCTGTGTTGCTGTGGCTACCAGTGAAAGTGGTGCACAAAAACTATTGTTTAAAGTAGAAATCCTTCATTGCTAGAATCTGACTGCATACGCAGTAGTTCAAGGATTATCCAGCTTATTGCTGCATTATTTTCAGATTTTATTCAAAACTTTATTGAAAATGTTATTCTATTAGAGTAAGAACATTTTTATTGTTTTCATGAATAATGTGTATTTAAATATCTAAAATACATATTTAGAACTGACTATGTAGAAAGCACTAATAAGTTCTTATTTATTTAACAGGAAAAGTTGTCTTAAGCTTCTGAAGTATCTTCTAGAGCAACTTAAAACGATACATACAAAAAAGTTGGACAAATTCTGTTCATATCATGTCAAAACTGTTTTCTTCCACTTGTGTGTCATGTGGCCAAACGACACAGACTGGCATTGGGGAGACCTGGATCACTGCTTTCAGAAGTGCCTGGGCTATTTCCTGGATTGCCTGCAAAAGTCTCAGCTGCCACACTTTTTTATTCCCCAATACAACTTGCTCAGCATGGAAGATAAAGCGAGCAGTGATTTCCTTTCAAAACAAATAAACAATGAGTTGAACAACAGATTCCCAATATTTCAGGAGAAGTATTAAAAACATTGTTTACAATAACTATCTAATCATGTAGATTTGCATATTTAAAACCAGAAGTTCTGCACCTTAAGTTACTCCTCAGAAGCCCGATACTACAAAACCCACAACAAAATCAAGAACACTAAGAGAAAACTGCATATCACAGTCCTTAGCCATAATCCTTCAAAGAAATAGGACACTTTCAGTAGCACTTATCTTCCCTATTCAAATGTAGAGGTCACCTGCAAAATATCTTCAAGGTATACTAAGAACATAGAGAAGAATTTGCAATAGTTAATTTCCCACATGTAATTTCTAAGATTCCAAATATAAAGGCATTGATGACTAGGTAAAGTGAAAAATGATTTTATTTAAAATGAAAATCCACTGCAGAATATCCAAAATACACTCTTGCTTTTAAAAGAAAAAAAAAAGGCACTGGAGTTACTTTGACAGAACAACTTCTCCAGATCAACTGGGTGGATGAAGACCTTTTGCAGAGGACAATCACCAGTAACAGTGAGCAGAGAGAGAATACGGTATCAAAACAGTATGAAGTTTCTGAAGTAACTTAGCTCTTCTGAGTCATCAGAATTGCTTTGGAAATTAGTCTTTTCACTGGACTTTGGACGGGAAGCGATCATTATCTAACATGCTGCAACAGAGTAGAAGTTATTGTGCCAATGAGCATTTGTGTGACAAATCTTGTAGAAAGAAATGTATCTTCAATCCGTATCAAGGAGGAAGAGTTTTCACGTGAAAGGTTATCAAAACCAAAATGCAGCATGAATCTGACATTCTCGGAATCAGAATTCAGGTCAATTTTTCTTATGTTGAAGAGTATGTGTGTTAGGGAAAAATAGTATTTCCTATTACTAAAATTGTGCAGTTGACAAATATGCAGCATTTGGGAACTGCTGGGCTCTAAGTAAATACATCTTTTGCTTCTTCTTAAAGAAACCATGGGAAGTCCGTATTTTTAGCGTATTTTTTGAAGGCAAAATAACCTACTGGCTTAAATAATGCCCAGATTTCACCTCGATTATGAGCAAATAAAAAAGAGGGAAGGCCAGAAGAACAGTTAAAGAACAATTTTACTAAAATATTCTCATCTCACTAGATTCAGTTTATTAGTTTTTCATTTACTCATATGACACATGAGTAAACACAAGTTCAGACCAAGTGTCCAATGAAGGAATAGCTCCTTCCCATATAACTTCCCAAGAGTGAAAACATACCCCATTATCATTAGCAGTCTGTGGGACAGAACCTGACACCCAAATGTAAAATTTGAATCAACTTTATCTGAAAGAAATACAAGCTGACCTTCAAATGTATTTTTTCTTCATGACTTTGTTAACATTGCTCTAGTAAACTGTTTTTCTTCCTTAAGCTAGAACATTATATCCATGAGAACAAAAGTAGAAGCTGTTTTTTTTCCAGTTAGCCACAAGCTCATACTTCTTGTTGTCCTCTCCTCCATTAGGAGGAAATGCAGACTTCTCTCAAAAAGAGCTTGAGACACAAGTCTAAAGAAAAGTGACTAAAACAATAGATTGGAAAAAAAAAAACTTCCTTCAAGCAAACATCAGTTACTGCAAACAGAGCAGTTTTCAAATAACTAAGTGATCCTTGGAAATACTTCCACATGCCACTGGCAGATGTGGCATATCAATGCAAAAGTACAGTATTTTGAAGCCACACTGACAAACATGGCCTACATTCACTAATCCAGTTCTCTGAAAATAAAAGGAAAAATTATCATTTACATTCTTATATATTAATACTGCACTTAACTAAAAAAAAACCCACCACCAAACAAACCCACAATATTTGTTTTTAACCAGTAGATAACGGCTTTAGAAGTTATGCATATCACACAAGAAAAAAATTATGAAATTCATTTTTCTTGTGACAATAGTGTCCAAGCACAAAACTAGATTTATTTCTATATAAAGTTAATCCAGTTTTCTTTTCTAAGCCACTTTTAAAAACACATTTTATTTAAATGGGACAAGTACAGAAAACAACCGAGAAAAGAAACTTCTGAACTCAAGCCCATAGATGCTAACACTAACTATAATCACTTACTTTGTTTCAGTAACTTCAAGGGATTACAGTTATTTTAAGGGCTTTCTCTGAGGTCTTCGTATATCCTTTTCGATTTCTTTTCTGATTTGAAATTGTTTGTATCTTTCTGCCATTGCAATAAGCTCATTAGGAACTACCTGATAAGAAAGCAGCACAAGAACAAGGTCAGTTTTAAATAAACCTAAACTTTTAGACTCTGCTTTACAAAAATGCTATTGATTTGTGTGTTCCCAAACTTGATTTTGTTGTTATTTATCTGGCTCCTGTCACTTTGCAGATTGTCTTTTCTGTAGAGATGCATAGAGAAATCTTTTTACATAAAATTATACTGAAATATACTGAAAAAATAATCAGCACAGTGTCCCTGGATTTTCAATTGCATATGTATGCTAGTATCACCATATCTGATGACAACATATAACTAGCTAACTAATTTGTATTTCAGATAGAAATGTATCTTTCAGTGATAATGAACAGCTGGAAAAAAATGTCCAATGTGACTGAAAGGCAATACCATACTATGTATATTTGAATGTTACACTATTATGATTGATATTAAATTCTTTTTGGAAGTTTTAAGAGCCTCTGAAGAGAAACTTTGGTACTTAAAGAAAGCGTTGCCATAGGAAGGGTTCTCACATGGATAAAACAAAGCTAAAAGACAAGAAAAGAAGGGCAGGAGAAAGTGGCCCGTTTTCCCACCACTGGGAGGTCACAAGAGCATCTTACCAAGATCCATGGTGCTTTTTGGCATGTTTGTAATTATGTGGAAAAGGTAGTGAATTGTATCATCAGCACGCTTTGTCACCTCAGAGTTACTCACGTTTATAAGGACTGAGGCCAGATGCAAAGAATTACAGACAGACTTTATTAGGTTGAATGACACTGATCACTGAATGAAAGAAAAAACCCCATATACCATTCTTATCGATCAAGGAACAAAGGCAGTGTCCAACAAACCTTCTAAAACCAGATCAGGCATAATGCAGACATTAACACAATGTTTACTGCAAAAAGCAGTACGGGTGACTACTGTCAGAAGAGGTTTTAGATCACTATCAAAACCAGCCCGCTTCAACAATCTGCTACAGCATGTAGCCATGCAGCAGGTAGAAGATATCAAGCCAGAATCAGTTTCCTGATCACAGAGTGAAGTGCAAGCTTCTGCAGTGTGTGTGAGCATGGTATTAATGTGATTGCTCAGTCTCTGTGGTTTATCCCTCTGAGAGTGGCACAAATACAGTGCAAACAGTACAGTACAAACAAATTTAAATACTGTTAAGTCTCCTTAGAAATGCCTAGACCCAGCAATGCTTGAACAGGTGAAGAATGCAGCCAGGACAAAGGGCCTGGAGCAGGAAGGTATATCCCTCCAGTTCCGACTTCTTTTGCCAGGTTTTATAATTCAGCAATGCTTGCCATTTGCTAGCAGCAACTTTTCTTAAGCTGGCATGAGAGTCAGCTTGCTAGTGTGTATTTTATGTGCCGAATTGCTCTTACTGGTAAACAACTGCCCTGGCTGTCAGGAGCCTACAGAACAGGATACCTATGGAGCAGTCTATTCTGCCTAAGTTCTAGACATTGTTTAAAAATAAAGTGAAAAATAATGCATCTCTCTGGCTGAAAGTCACTACAGACTTGTATCAATAGAGATAGAAGTAATGAGACAACATTACTATCCACTTGAAACACTGGATAATTTTCTTCCTCAGTATCAGATCAGATCCTCTCCTACAGCATGGCACAGAATTTATTCCAACTAAAATTGCAACAATTTCTTGCAAGAGTGGTTTTTGAACAAGCACAAGGAAAGAATGGGAAGAAGCCAGGATACGGAACATAAAAATCTCAGTAAGGTAATATCCAGCATCTAGTGGTTTGTTAAGATTTTTACATGGACAATCTGTGTATCTGCTAAACATATAAGCTAGGTATGGTAGTCCAAACGAGAAAACAGAAAAGGATAAAGATGCCATAACTTATATGTAACACTTTTCTTAGTATTAGAGATCAGCGTTTTTCCACCTGATTCCCTAATAAATCTGTCCATGCTTCTTAATAAGCTTATATATAAAGAACCCTGCAGAAATCTTTCTGTTTTTCTTTAGGGAGATTATCTGTACATTCAAAATCATGGAAAACATCTGGCTAACAAATGCACCTTACTTGTTTTGAAATTGAAGTATTCAGAACATTCAGACCATCTTTTCAGTTGCTCTCCTTCCCTTTTACATGATGCTTTAAGGCTGAAGTAATGATATTTTCATTGTCATGAGGGAAAAAAAAAGCCTGTATGGAGACTTCCCTTCAGCTATAACTAAAAGTTTGAGAATAATGTTGTGACTAACAGTTACCCTTGAAAGTAAGGATTCAGAGATGCTCTTTTCTCCTCTGAACTCAGAGATCCGTTCCCAGTTGAACTATCACACGTTAAAAAAGTTTAGGAACTTCACAGTCTGCAGCAGGAGACAAGGCATGGATGGTAATGGCTGATTCAGAATACAGAACAAGGCACCTCCAAGTTCTATTTAAGTGGCTTCGAAGTATCATTACTGGTTTAATCTCTTACGTTTTCTGAAGGAAAAAAACCCAAACCTGCAACTTTAAGAAATCATTAAGGGACAACTTTTTTTTATCCCCTTTTCCTCCCTCAAAAGCATCTTATCAGATTTGCAAAAAGTGGCACATCTTTCAAAGAAGAGTTGTAAAACAGAAGATTTAGGTGAAGTTCTAACTCAGGGTTTAAAGTTTGAGTAAGTGTCCATAATAACAGCCACAGGCCCTAAGTAGAGGCAATTTAGTTTGTACTCAAGCTCCTATCTCCCCAAATAAAAAAAAAAAATTAAAAATTTCAACTCAAGTCAGGGCATGAACTGGGGGTTTACTATAAATCAGGCAAAATACTGTTTCTTGTTACAGCCAGAAACAGCAACATAATTGTCTCTGGCCTCTCAGATATGGTAGCAAGAACAAAATGTTTCTTTAAAATAAATTAGTAAATCCCAATCCAGTCCTATTTCCCATACTATTCACAAACATCTGTAAGAAAGATAGCTTGGAAAAGTACATGCAGATATACATGCAGGTATAATAAACTGATTGATAGTTGAGCTTCTTCTGAGATAAATATTGTCAGTATTTACAGTGTTAAACAAGAACACTGGTACATGCACCCAGAAGTGAAATACAAATGGAATAAAATACTACAAAATAAAATAGATCCTATTATTCCTCTGCAGACCTCTATGTGCGCAGATGTTGTTACTTTTTCTTTGGCCATGGAAGGCTTTGATTAAAGTTCCCGGTCTTTTCTGGGACTCATCTGTAAGGTAAAATACAGCTAAGGATATCCAGGACAAGAGAGACTTTACCCATTTTTTGCCCGAGACACTGCAAACACTCACCAAGAAAGATCTAAGTAGGCTTAGACCTTCATGAACTGTTTCAGGTGGTAACCCAGAACCAATATAAATCTTAGCCAGCAAGATGTATTCTTACTTGGTTCGCTCTTTCCAGAATTTCAATCAGCTCAGATGCAACCCTCCAATCATTCTTAGTGACAAGCGTTACTGCCTCCCCAGTACGTCTAAACAAGGAATGAAATAACTGTTGATCTTCAAAACAACTGCCGCTAGGCTTTTCTTACTGACCTATACAGTAATAAATTGTACTACAGGCAATATTATTGAACCGGTAGATAAAACTGGCTTGAGTATTTACTATGCACATGACAGAAATCAACTTTTATAAAGATCAGAATATGGCAATTCACCTAAAATGGAGCAAAGGCACAACTAATTTAGACTTTTAGACAATAAACCTAGCATAAAGACAACATATTTAAGTATGAAGAGACATACATTCATATCATGATTAAAATAAACACATGCACAAGAAAAATCACACTTGTGACAACCTGGGAAAGCAGCATTCAGGAGTCCTAACACCAAACTACACCACCATGATAGGCTGAAAATTTTGAATGTATATGTTTTTTTCCCAATGAGCTGTCTAGGAAACTAAACAACTCAACAGCTCATGAAGAGACAAACAAGGAAGTGACATTGCAGAATACCTACATAGAAGTTGTTTTCGACTGTAATTCTTCCCCACGTTTAAACCAGCTTTCAAACATTCCTCATTCCCATCCACTTCAATGAAATAACAGAAAAGTGGAAAACTTGTTTGCCTTAAATTTAACAGTGAATTAATTTCAAAACACAAAGCAGTGTGTTATTATCTAAAACATACTTTGATAGACTCTGGAGTCTTCACTCCCCCACTCCACATCACCTGTAGCTCTAGCATTTGACAAGAGAAATACCTATGCAGTGCATAATAAAATAAAAATATTGACAGTATATTACTATTTTCTTGTAAACACTTACCCTGCTCTTCCAGTACGACCTACTCTATGAACATATTCTTCAATGTTGCGGGGGAAGTCAAAATTAAAAACATGAGTAATATCATGCACATCAAGGCCACGAGACGCTAAGTCAGTAGCTACCAGTATTCTGACTTTGCCTAAAATAAGTACAACAGAAAGAGAATGGGAACTTATGGAATAGACAGAAGATACACTCCAGTCTATTGGTTTTCTAGTGTATAATGGACTTAAATCTTAACACATAAAGGAAAAATATGCTTTTTGCATATCACACTGAGTTAGCTTCAAATACAAGGTGGTAAGTAAGTACTCAAAGTGTCACTTTACTATTATTTATATTTCACAAGTAGAACAGCAGGGTGCAGGAGAACCAAGAAACATGCCTAGCTGCTATAAAGAGTCTGTGAAAAGAACAAACTTCAACAACTATATTCTCAGCTGGCATCCTTATCATAGGGCATGTGACTACATAACCCCAAAGTACAACCCTACTGGCATAATCATGAGCAGAACTGTTTCACTGAAAGCACCATCATTTGATACTTAAATTTACTTACGTTCTGTAGACTTACACAATATTGACTCTTCCACAAAGATTTCAAAAATAAAATAAGCCTTACTTTAAATTGTTTAACTCTTAGACATTCCAAATTTCATTGAAGAGCAATCTCTCTCTGTTTGCTGGGGTTTTTTTGCTTGTCAAATTAACAAAGTAAACATATCATTCAGAGCTCTTTAATAGTTTCACTTCTACGGTACTGGAGAGACATGACACTTACAAAGAAAGTTCTGCACATGACAAGCTTTAAAAACCTGGGCTAAACAAACCAATACTTAGGTACAAACATACCTTTCTTGAAGTCATCTAAAGCCTGTTCTCGATCACACTGTTCCCTGTTACCATGAAGTGACTGTACTGGAATTCCTTGGAGACCAAAGTCACTTGCCAAGTCATCAGCTCTAGGATGAAATAAAATCCCTGTTACCATGAAGTGACTGTACTGGAATTCCTTGGAGACCAAAGTCACTTGCCAAGTAAAAAAAAAAAAAAAAAAGAGAAAGAAGTGCAGCATCTAGATTTAGATCCAAAAGATAATAAAGTGACAACAAAAGCTAAACGTGTGCCTAAGGACAAAACCCTACCTAGGTCAGTTGATATTTATTGTAAAACAGTATGAAAGCAAGACTATTCCCCACATAAATGTTTGCTTTTATTTATATATAAGAGGAATAATAGATGATTTTTGTGTTGTTCACTCAAAAAGCTCAGGTATGGTACAATGACCAACTGCCCCCCCCCCCCCCGCAAACAGGTCTTATATGCACCAGCTGCATATGCAGGTAACAGTACATCACACTAATGTATCCCCAAGAATCTTAACATCTACTTTAACTATGTGAAATTGAGATTTACCACCACCACTAATGTAATTAAAAAGGATACAAACTACCAGTCCCTGGAGGAACGAATGAATAGATAAATAAAAACACTACTACTACCAGCACATTGCTGACAAGAGCTGTTACACTGGGTAATTATTATGTGAACTAAGAAACTATCCAGTATTCTGTTAGAAAAAGTGAACAGATGTAATACTGGGAAGTGATTACATACGTAAGTTTTTTTCCCACAAAAATGATGACCTTATCTTTTGGCTTCATAGAGTCAATGAAGTGTTGCATGAAAGCTCTCTTTTCCTCCTCCGCGATAACAATAACTCTCTGTTCTACTGTATTTACTGCCTGTTAAACAGCAAATAGGAACGTTAAGTAGAAACAGATTAGAATAATATTTTTTTCTGTTAATTCCCATATTATGATATTATAAAACTAGTAATATGATACCATGAAAAACTATTTTAAAAATCAAAATATATATCAGTTTGGAGTTCAAACAATGCAGACTTATTTGCTGTTTCCTAGTTGCTTTAGGAAAATAGTAAAATTTACCTTTAAGCAGTTTGCCAAATCATATATTTGCAGAGATTTAGAGGGCACAGATTAGCAGACTAGTGAGGTGAAATAAACATTCCTAATGTCAGTGAAAAATCAGACTGAAGTCCTTTAATTTGAGTATATTTTATGTTAATCCAGAGCAAGTTGGAACAACGCCAGCCTTACTTGAAAGAACAAGCTTTTAAAGAAGATTCTGTAACCTATTTGAAATGATCAGTTCTGTCCAATTCTTCCAACAACAGTTTGTTAATAACAACTTTACTCCATTATATTTGAAGGTTGCCATAGAATGTCTAAGGTATACTACATAAGTAGTATAAAGGTCTAGACATTCTCATGGCACTGCGTCATCATCTTGTGGCAAGGGTTGAAGAATCAGTAAAGAACATAGAAAAATTCTCTCTCCACATGGGAGCTCCTCCCCCCAGAGGGCACCTCTTCAATGAAGAGAAGGTTCTATAAAAGAGATTAATGCATTAGACAAGAAAGCTACAATAGCAGTTGGCATCTTTCAAATTCCGATTCTCTGTCTTTGGCAAGTAATGCCCTTTGACAAAAGCATGGTTCTGAACAGAACAGATGAAAATTACATTTTCCCCCTATTTCTACCTAAAAGTGTATTGGATACTAAGTTTCTTCACTCCCTATCATTAAAAAAGTGGAACTGAAAAGGAAAATTTCATAATTTAAGAACCAAACTCAAAGCAATCTCTGGACCAGGATGCTGAGATCTTGGAAGAACTACTATTTCTGTAAATTCTGCTGGTACTGAAGCCAAGTACACATAGCTGCACAAGCATGACAAGTATGCAACTACACCTACATATTAGAAGTTTTGGACTTTAAAGACAGTTCTTACTCTAACACATACATTCCTGCTTTTTTTTCCTGCTCTAGACAAGTGCCGTCCAGGAGTTTAGTAGAGAGTTTCCGCACTCTTCGAGAAAGCGGCAGTTAAGAAACACAGATCCAGATAAGAAGCTGTACGCATTAGAAAGACGACTTTCAGAAGGAAAAGTAAGTAAGGAGCAAGAACTTGCTGAACAGAAGTGAAGGCTGCAAGAACAAGGGTTCAGGCAAGAACACGTGGCACTGCAAAGTACAATATTCAAACTTCAATTTGATTGATACTTATCACTTGTGACGTCTTCTACTGAAGATCGAGGACTTAAAGATCTTGTTACAGAAACACAAGAACAAAGTTCTTTTCTACTTTTTTTTTTTTTTAGTTCTTTCTAAACTTTTAATGAAGCTTTGAAAGAATAATATGGAGCTGTTTTTTGAAAGTTTGGATTGATTTTGAAGTTACAGGCATTTACTTACCTATAGTTACAAGCAAAATACTTCCTGGTTTAACTGTAGGTTCTTCTCCCAAAGAAGAGAAAAAAAAAAAACAAAAACAACAAAAGAACAGAACAACTTACTGCTAAGTCAAGAGTGCCAACATATACAATCATAGGATTTTTCAAATAGGATTTCGCTAGGCGACGAACACCATCGGGCCAAGTAGCACTAAACAAGAAGTGAAGAGGAAAACACACATGAGAAAAGAGTGCAAAATCTTCTCCAATTCATTAATTTCACCATATTCTTCTTTCTTTTCATTCTTATACACCAGTGAAACACTTGAGCATGCCCTAACAGTAGTGAGCTTATATAACATTTAGAAATAGTCTTAAGAAGTTATTAGTAAACAGCACTTAAGCTTTAAAGATAACTTTCCAGGTTAAAAGTACAGGCAACAGTTATGAAGCCTTTCTAATGAAGCCAAAAGTGAGTTTAGTAGTTCAATGATACCCAAAAAGCAAGCTTCTAGTCTGTTTTTATCTCTAAAACAACAGCTCCAATGCAAAACACGATAACAAAAATTATTGTTGAGATATTCTATTGTTAAGCTCCCAAAAGCTGCGTAATTTCAAAATTAATCCAGGTACAGATTAGCACAGACACTGATCAGAAGGTTAGGATACACATTTGGTCCCAGACGGAGAAATGGAAGTTGGCATTTCAAATTGATATGGCAAATTCTAGCACTCCCAGGACACCTTCCTTTTTGTGAAGAACTCAGTTTTTTCATAGTTGATGCAAAACATCAGCGAAGGGGTAAGAAATGAAAGTAAAATTGCCAAATGACTCATTAGGACTGACTAGACAGAATTAGAAAGAAAACTGATGCCATTCCCATTTAGGCTAGTAAAAGTTATATCAAAACCAACAGATTTGTTTTGAAGTTAACTTGTTCAATAACCTTACTTTTACAGTGTTCAAGTACTGAGCACTATTATGTTGGCATACCTTGTCATAACAGTTTGTCTGTCAGGCCGCACATCTATCAGGATCTTCATTATCTGAGGTTCAAATCCCATATCCAACATTCTGTCAGCCTCATCTAAAACCTGTCAGAACAAGGTTATTTATTGTGTCTAGTTCCTTAGACTAGGGTTTCAGCAAGACATTACATAGCAGACCATTTTAATGGTAACAATTTTAATTGCAGAATCCACTCCATGATGTATTGCAAAACCTGTTCAACTTTTATTTCACCTCTTCAATTTCCTTGAAGCTTTTTCATTTAGTAATACATTTGCAGGCAGAACAAGAAAGTCCACAGCACCTTTAAAAGCACATAAAGTCAATGAAGAAGAAACAACAACTGTTTGTTTGTTTTAACAATATTTTGGTTGCTACCTAAAACTAAGCACAGAATTAAAAAAAAAAAACAAACCGGGGGGGAACCCACACAACACACTTTCAGTAAGAATTGTTTAGTAATTTAAAGACGAAATCTCATTTCTACCTTGTTAGAGATCTCACACTAAACCAAAATATCAGTTATCAATTTAGTTCCCCATTAGAAGTAAGAAAAACCCAGACTGTACATTCTGGCTCACACTGGGACACTGCAGAACTCCCAGAGCTCAAACTTGTTTCCTCTGGTAAAAAAACCAAAAGAGAACAAGTGAGCTGAAGGTCTGAGTAAAACTATTTAGAACTGATAATATACAAGCAGACCTGAGACTCTGAAAACATTCACATAAAAAGAAAGCAAGCTGCATTCTAAGACTGATTTTTCTCCTTTAATTTTCAAATAGAGTTTATATAAATCAAAGTTATATGCTTTTAAGTATTGACATTTTCTAGTCACTGATGTGGAAACATAAGACTTTGATGATAATCCCTTTCTACTGTCCTGATTTTGCTGTTCCATTCTTTTCAGATGTTTTATTCTATTAGAGGTTTTTAGTACATTATCTATGTAAATCTCTGAAATAGTAACAAATAATCAGCTGAAAGACAAAAGACAGGAATTCTATTTTTTGATTTAACTCCCTTTATTTTCAAAGGATTCATGGAGATTTCATTAACTACTTGGACTCTAGTACAATGGCAAGGCTTGAAACCACTAATTTTATATACAGAGTTGGCTACTATGCCCCTTTCAGCAGCAGAAGCTTTCTAAGCTATTAAGCACACTGGTACTTCGCTGTAAAGGGAGAAGAAAGCATTTAAGTATGTGTATTAGATGGATCAGAGTAGTTGAAGTTTACTTTCCTTATTTCTGATAGCTGCTTAATGAAGAATAAAGGCTGTAATACATGTAAGATAGATACTAGCATTATTTTTTCTAAATGCCTCATAGCCAGGTCCTTACAAGCTAAATTTCTCCCCAACTGACATAATCTTAGATTTCTTGTTAACTATACATATTTACTTGTTTGTTAATATTATTCATTTCAATTCTATTTCTTGGCAAGAAATTCTTACAAGCCAGTTCTTCATGTGAAAATTATTTTCTTTCCTCTGTTTTAAATTAGTTATTGGTAAGTTTTACACTATTTTTTTGTATTTGAAGAATAAAAGGACTACTCCAATCTACCTTCTATACCCTACTTCATGATTTATATATTTTTTTTTAAGTATACT